GGCTATGCGTTGATAGATCACTATGTCAGTCAGTCAGTCAGTCAGTCACCTTTGAGTTATATATATTTAGATTGATTTAAGTCGCGGGAAGAACTTGGATGCGGGCAGCGCAGGATCGATCGTTATGGAAATCCTTGGGGGAGGCCTTTGTCCAGCAGTGGACGTCATTTGGCTGAAACGAACGAACGATACTTACGCCCGTATTCACATAGGATGCTTGCTTAAGTGAAGCAGCAAATCGAACGTACAGCGTTGAATAAGTAGATCTCTCTGTGATTGGTTTGTGTGTCACCCTGTGCGTCCACGCGCACTGTGAGACCTCATAGTAATGTTTGTGAATACGGGCGTTATTTATTGAATAAGAAGAGTCAAAGAGCTTACGTCATTCTTTGTTCAACCGTCTCTTACAAAAACGGAAGCGTTTTTTTTAAGTGAAAGTAGCAAAGGCATCAAAATTAATGAGGTTTCGGTCTAATTATGAAAGTCTGTGATTGATTTGGTGTTAAATAGGAGAACATTAACACCTAATTTCATTGTGTAGGTATTTGGCACGGTTTATATGCCTATTAACACCTTAGTATGCAGCCTGCGTACTGCAGCTCGTAACAATTCTCTGACAGTATAGCTATTTCAGGTTAAGCAAATGATATCACTGGATTGATTGATTGAATCGTATCGAGGAATCGTAACTGCGAATCGAATCGGATTTGCAGGATAAATCAGTTAACCTACGAAAATACATAACACATAATAACAGTCCATTCGTTTGGATCCAGTGAAATGAGATTTGCTTATCATAGGATTAACCTTCAGTGGCTAGGGGTTTTATTGGCAGTCAATCTATGGATCTAGGACACAGGAGTAGTAGTAACGGTGATGGAAGATTGAATCTCATTTGAAATGAGAGAGAAAACTGGTGTAGGTTTTGACAAGTGACGCAATAAAAGGCCTAAATCCAGGTCTAACCAATCTTCAACAAAAAAGAACCCTTAAGTTTGACTGGATGCCTTCTATAGATCCTCCATCTTCATGGGATTCCTTAATTCTTATCGCACAACTCCTAATGTGTTGTCCAGGATCACTGTAAAGATAACGCTGAAACGCGAACTGAAAACCAGGAACCGGGATGCGCCTGACACAAACCAATTAACAACTACAACAACACGTGGGTGTTTAAGTTTCGAGAGTAAGAACCACGTCGTTTAACCAAAATGAAAGAGAACGAACGAAGTCGAACATTCACGGAGTAAACAAGTAGAAGTGATTCAGCCAGGAATAGGCGCCATATCCGTCCAGGCCGCCGATATTACTGGACTGCGATCTGCTCACGCGCCGTGGGAGCAGGAGCTGGGAAGCGACCTTGGCGTTTCGGAATGAATCATTGCAGCGAAAGTGGGAGAAATGTGCCGCGCCCCGCGCCCGCCGCTCACTTTTACTTTCCAGTGTGGCGCAACGACGGCGACGCCCGAGCCGCGGCACTCGCCCGGCGTTCGCGGCCCAAAGCGCCGCCGTCGCGCCAACGCGTTCGCGACAGTGACTGTGCCCGGATTACAGTGCTAATAGTGCATCACTGGATTCAGTTTAAGTGAAAAACCGGGTCGCCGATAAGCGTTGTGCAAGCGCGGAACTCGCGCGGCCTCGCACTCCCGGAGGAAGTGGCGCAAGTGGAAGTGGCGCAACGGAGGGAAGCCGCTGCGGGCGCCTCTGCGCGCTTACCCCTGGATTGCCCGCGCGCAACTGTTCTCATCTAACAACGCCCCCTGGTAAGATCAGCGCTAGTGACGTTTTCAGCTACCCACATGGAACGCAATGTGTGCCAGTTGGTAACAACCGGACCCGAGTTCAAAGTGTTGCCAGAAATAAACAAAACACAGTCGGCTTCCCGGTTCAACATCGGTTCCCACGTCGGAAACGCAACAAATAAAGAAGTCAAGCATCCAAGGACAACACAACTTTCAAGTGATTTCGCGCGCAGCCGACAATAAAAACTTCGTAACGCCTGCGCAACCTCTCGGTCTCACTTTCGACGTCTGCGCGAGTCTCGCTCGACGAGCGCGCTTTCAATGCTGTTACAAAACCTCGCCATGTCGAATTTTCTTTCGAAAGTTTGATAAGTGCTCGGTTAGATAGGAAACCGCTGTCGAAACTTTTCATAACGGCAACCTTGAGAGGAAAATTGTTGTTAGGCGCGCTGGCCGCTGGTCCTATAAAAGTTTCATTGCCGCTCACGTAGGGAACCTTGCAGTCTCCGTGACCACAGCTGTGCGGTCATTGAGTTGGTGCCATTACAAGCAGCACGTTTCGAGCAACTGTCATCATTAAGTAGAACTGAAAGGAGCACGGCCCAAGGCCAGTTGGATAACGAATTTTCGTTTAATATTAATAAATGTCAGAATGATTCGGTCGTGACGGATCCGACACTTTGCGGATGCATTCGTTTTTATTAAACTCCTCTCAAAATCACTTTCACGCCGCTACGAAACGTAATTGATATAGCCGAAACCAATCTAAATGGTGCACGATATAAATGATATAATAGGCAACAAACTAATTTCGTGTAATAGACATTCATTTAGGAAGGAAAATGGTTATCATTCGCAATTTTTATTCGAACCAATCCAGTTCATGTTTGACGCTCAAAGTAAAGTATACCACAAAGTTGTTAAACAAGTGCAAAAAGTCTTTTACCTACTGCGTTGAACTAAGTAGAGTACTCAGAGCATTTCATAATTCAACTTATTTCTCTTTATGCACCGATTGTTATCAAGCAAGGCGTTGCGCAAGCGTGCGCTAACTAAAACTTTCATTGGCCGATAATAGTGGGCGTACCCAGACTTCGGATAAAGATCGTGATTAGACAGTGACAAAAAGTACAATGCACTTTCACCCGGAGAAATGGCGAGGAGAAATGTCGAAAGCGAGTGACTTTATCCTGCTTCACACTCGAATGGGCGTTTCGATTTTCGAAAAAACCTTTCATCGAATAATTTGGGTAGAGAGTTTTAAACTGACATCGACATTTAAGCATAAAAAGTTTCGATAAATTCAACATTTTACGCTATGTATTTATTTTGACGTATTAGCACCTTAATGCCTGATAAAAAAAACTATGAAAGGTAATCTAAATCTCAAATAGATTGTATAGATTTAAATGTTTTGACAACACTCATGTTTTATACACCAAAAGCAGCATGTTCTCATCAACATTCAGAGACATAGTTCTATTGTTTCCTAGCAAAAAGATGTTTTCGTTTTAGTTACAGAAAACTGTACCATTAAGTAGATATCTTTGTACTGTTAAAGTGCGTGTCCATTAGCACCATTTAGAAGGTAGGTCAAAGATTACATTCTTGGACATTCATGCCAAAAGCGTCTTTAAAGTACATCTTGGGGATTGCCTGTATTTGCATTGTTATCATTTTACGAAAGTAAAACACAGCCATCAATTCATAAAAGAGGGCTCGTATTGTGAATTTGGCAAAGTCAAAACGCCCATTTAGTGAAAGTGACTTTCGCATCATGCCCAAACGTTTTCAAACTCAATTTAACACAATCGATTGTCATTAATCTGCTGCATGCCCTGTAATTACTAGGTCTCCCGCTAAATGTTGAATAGACTATTGTTTTGAAATACATATGGAAAGGTCTGTTACTAATATTATAAATGAATAGTTCTGTGCCATGACAGAATGCTATTAATTTATCAATAGACTAATAGTGCGCCTTTATACTCCGTATCTAGCCAGCCCGGATAAAATGTACGTTTTATGGCCATTGAACAATGACTCCGGATGATTGTTGCCGCAAATGTGGGAGCCTCTCACCTTATTACAAAATAAAGTTTCAATAACAAACTCGAAATTAAATTAAGACTTAACAAACAAGTGGCAATTAAAGTAATTCTCACAGAGATCTTGGAGTTTACGTAAGGCGTGTGTCTTCAGAAGAAATTTTGCAGGTTATCCAATCCGAGCATTTATTAGACAATGAGTCTGAGGAAATGAAAGTGATTTTGTTGTTACGTTATGGCCGCGAACGGGTTCCGTGAGTCGTGTCAGCCATTTATTCATTTTTTTTCTGCAACAATCAACCGGTTTAGGAAGTGTTTCTCGACATGTTCGAGCTTTTTGCACATTGATTCATCAACCAGATAGATTTGAGAACATCGTAAAAAATTTGCAATGCTCTTCGAAATCGAATCCATAAATTATTTTCAGGGTTTCACCTTTGCTGCATAACTTTCGATTTGACAGCTTTTATTATAGGTCTCACATAAAGTCAAAGCTAAATGCGTTTAAACGCATTTCCAAATCATAACTTATTTTTGCGATCTTAAAATATATGTGTTAATCTCCGCCTACTAACCTAATTTCATAGTGCAAGTAGGTAAATTACAATTCAAGTTAGCCCTAAAAAGCTTTCTCAATTAAGGCTAGGATTTACCGCNGATTGTCAAATGACTCCAAGAACGAGTATCAAAGAGCGCATCATGCCCCAGTTACCACTATCTCGACCGACTCCAGCCACCGAAATTGCGCAACAATTCTCATTTCTGGCCACCCACGCTAAATACGTGTCAAATCGCTAATACCATTATCAACTTTCGTTGCATCACCCGCTGTAATTACATCGTTTGTCCAGGCACCGGCTGTTAGAGCAATAAAAGCTGCTTTGTCCATTAAAACAAAACTAATATTTGTGCGAAGAAAATAAACATCTTATATGGAATCATCTAGTGGAGTGAAGTAGGTACTCGCGTAGGCGATGGCGGTACACACTGCAACGTGCCGATTTACATCCAAGGTCTTTCCTAGTGGAAGAGAACGGTGTTTCCTGCGGCCGCCTATCTCTCGCACACTAGCACACGTGCACGCACACGCGGCCCGAGCTGTGCTCTTTGTGCTGCTCCTAGCTACCGTTGGGGCATCTTCTTTTTGTGCCGTCCACGGGCGTTTGAGGACTGCGAGCCTTCGAGCGCCTCATTATATACGCGGGACGAAGCGCGCGCGTCAGTTAGTATGTCACTAGTGCTGACTCGAGAGGTGGCCCGCAAGGACTGTGCCGCGCTCGACCTTTTTTTCTGTGCGTGCGATGTTTTCACTTTCGTCATTTTGACCGGGCCAGTTTGATTTGACGGCGCTCGCGCACGGACGTGCCTAGGATCGTTGTGTTTATCCTGTGATCGGTGCTTCGGATTGTTTGTTTTTGTATTATCAGTGCGATGGCTGTGATGAAGTGCTAATATGTTCGATAGCAACGTTCTCCTGAATTTTTACAATGAGCTTGCGAATAGAAGTGCGCTACAGTTGGCAAGGTGAGTTTGTTTACTTTTGATTTTGGTTGTCCGGTGGGATGGATGCAACCTTGGGCTTAATGGACGCTCCATCCGCCTGCCGCCTTCAGCGGAGCCTCTCGAGAGGTTAATAGGTTCACATTAGATGGTGGTTTGCGAAATCGCCAGGCTGCGCGTACGACTCGCGGCTTTTCCACAGTCGTTTTCGCGCGCATTCGGCATACAAACGAAATACTTCGAGTACTTTATGAATGGCACTAATAATAACAACATGTTTGAGTTGTTTAAAATAGATAAAAACATGCCTACACAGTACACAATTTTAAAATAAACTTCAAATAACTACAACTTTTACCATTTAATTTAAGCAAAAATTTTTCAAAGTACCTAAACTTTATATTTGTCAGTATTAGTTGAGCAATCATAAAGTCGTTTCAGTAGTTGCCGTAATGCAACACCTAATACAAACGTCTGGGGCTTAATTTACTTTTTCCCACGACTCGAGTAGGCACACCGAAACTGCACTAGTCACTAGTTCTCTCATAATTTATGAGTCGTAAACTTGCTTATTTCATCAAGTGCACAAAACATTTGCAACAGCGAATCAAAACTAGATTATCCAGTTTTTGGTTACATGGCTTGTCTTTAAATTAATCTAAACTAATCTGCTCTCATTTAAAAATATATATACATTTTATGAATGACACTGTTAACAACTCAATTAACATGATACTTTAGATTTTCATCTTACTTTATTGCATTAATCATGTAAACCTGCATTAATTTCTCCAAAGTGTCGTAAAGGAATTGCATGAATTAATTATATCAATTTGAACTGGGTTAAAATAGAAATAACTACGAAATCAGGTCACCTTTAGAAGATTGATATATCTGTTACATTGGTGATACCTAAACTAAATTGATGCAGTTCGTAAGCCAGAATACCTAATTACATATGGCATGACAAATCTACGGCTATGCTATACCGAGTTTAAAAAACCCCTTCACGGAAAACGTTAGATATTGAACTCAATAAAATGGGATACCAATAATGATCAACTATTAAACAATTAAGAGTAGGCAACTGGCCACCTTCATCAATTACCATTTAAAGATATTGTTCATTAACATCCAAAACTAATTTATTCTAGACGGTAAAAATATTAGAAAGCTAATTTTCCGATAAAATATCGTAGTATAGGAAATCCTAATATTATAATGTTATAATTGTCATACAATATTAGAATAGACAATATTGATAATTTCTCTACTACTTTGAATGAAACAAATGCAATCCAAAAATACGCAGCTTCTAACACCGTTGATGGTCTCAAAATAGATAAACTTGATCCAAATGCAGATTTGGCTGCACCCAAAATTGACAATGTTGTTCATGTGACTGCTACAAATGCTGGTTTGGTATCTCATCATAACGATATAGTAAAAGACATTACGCAAGCGATTGATACAAGCGTAGATAAAAGGTAATTGTGTCAATGAGCGGGAGTGCTGGCACGAGAGACAATCTAAAGGGCAGGCTGGATGACAGAATCGTTTTTGCTGCAAATTATACTTTGGTAAAGGTCTGAACTAGCGTTAGTTAAAACAGAGAATCACGGATCTAACACATTTTTTATGAAGTACGCTGAGTTTTTCGTTTCGTTTTATTCTCTTAAAGTAAAGTAATGCGAGAGTTTAAGGTGTTAAGGCTATTATAGAGATGCTGATGTAGAGTCTGCAATGACTGATCTTGAGATAAGTTTAAAGATTAAGAAACTTTAATACCAATATGTTTAGCTTTTTAAATAGTTTCTAGTAAAGTAATTATCGTGTTTTATGGCAAAATGTAATCTTGCTTTGGACGTCACATAATAATCTCAATATAATAATCTACAATAGAAATACCTATTTAATTTTACATAACATTTTCAATTTATAGCCAAATTGTGCATAAAATTACAAACAGCTAATTTTTCATAATTATTTTAAACAACACTAATTATTTTAATGCTTAATTGAAATAGAATGCAATTTTTTTGGAAATAATTTACGTGATCACTGGTCAGTTACTACAAAAACTAATACTTTTGAAACTATTATGTCCATGTCTGATTGGAAAAATATTTTCTTATAGGACAATGTTAATTTCTGTAGTTACAATATGACATAATCACTGATGCTTTAGATTCATAAAAACCCATTAACAATTGTAATGCATGAGTAACAAGTGAAGAACAAATACTTTTAATTCTGTATATTATTGGTAATTGATATTCTATACCACCTCCCATGATGCTATAGTCATCTGCTATGTTGGTTGCGCATATAAGAAGGCATGTGTTTGAATATGAAGATGAATATTAACACAGATACTATATTTCCAGACAAATTCTTTCTTATAATTTACTCCAGATGTATGTATTTGATGAACTTCATACCTTAAGGCATTTTCTTCCAGTGTTAGTACTACAGAGAATGCGGAAGGGTGAGTAAATAGCATAGGTAACAAAACTCCACTTTGGCAACTCCTTTCAATCTGATATAGATTCTGATAAGATAATTAATTGTCTAATATGACAAGATTAAATTGTTTGGCTCACTAACGAGCAGTTATTGCGTGTTACTAGTTTTTACCGCCTAGATTAACTAGACATAATTCTGTAGCACTACTGTCTTTACTATAATAATGCTTCGATAGGTTTTTGTTATTTGAGAAAGTATCTACTTATTTTTCTTGTCTCCTAGTGTAATTTAGCTCGACGAAATGAATTATTAAGCTCCCAAATACCTATTTATTACTTCCATTCTCTTGATTTTAAATAGACATATTTTCGTATAAGACCTTCATTTTCCCGATTAATAACGATAACGTGATTTATAAGTATTTATGATAAGATTTAGATTAGGATTGAACTTTAATAGAAAGAAACCAAAACCATTTAATCAAAAATTCCAGCTAAGGAATATTATTTAAACTATTTTCTGTCTTATTAGAATGTGCATCCTTAATTTAAAGATATGAGCATGTAATAATAACACATAAAAAGTATGTGTACTCGTATGTAAAAAGAAAACAGACGCCCATATCTCCAAAGTTTTGCCGCCTCTCGCGCGATAGTGAAAATCAAATTGACTGAATGTAAGTTGTGTAGGTATCTACACGCTTAGTTTCTTATTTATTTATTCTTATACATATTATTAGAAGAAATACTTTTATGTATTCTAATAACTATGCACTAAATTTTACTATTACCTATACCTATAGTGAGTTTTAGAAAAAAGGTAGACTATCGAATTAAAATTCGAATTTCCCTTCAATATCGAGCATTACCTATTGTATTTTAGTATTGAACTATATAATTATGTAGTTTTAAAATATTATTTCAGTACCTACGCAAACATTCTATCATATCTATTTCAGACAAGAAAAATATAAATTACTTCAATCAACATTCCGTTTGCGTGTAATTTCGCAATTAAATATATTGAATGCACATCCTCCAACACAATTTATCGTGGAAAATATAAACAACGCTCATTAACATACAAATGCGAAATCTAAGTAATTGACCCTAAATTACTTTAAGTAGCTACTGACCAATCAAACACGGCTTGATCAAACTTAATATTTGCATAACCCAATACTACAAAAATATATTTCGTATTGAGCTCAGCTGTGTTCACATTTGCATCAATGTCTTTCATATGACATAAAAATAGTGTGTTGAGGGCTCTTTCTTGTCGTAATTCATTTCTTACACACGTTGATTGTATTTTTTTAACGCATCATCAATATCACGATCTAATATTTATGAACTGATTCAACTCACTTGGAGTTGAATAATGTCAGTTAGTTACTATACTGATTTGAGTTAAAGCGCGTTAGGTTACGAATCCTAAAGATGCATGGGTGATGCACAATGTCATGAAATGTATAAACCTATCCAGAGATGATCTACTAGGAATCCATATTCCATATATAGCTTCATCAGACTAAGCTTAGGCGCTGACCACCGACATTTTGTCGGCCGATAGTTGGGTCGGGCTGTTTATCACTATGGACAGGCAGGTATGAAAGTGCGTATGGTATCGGCCGATTCTTCATACAAATAAGAATTAGGCCCAACTATCGGCCGACTAAAGTCTGTAGTTAGTTTTAATGATTTAATAAAATCGTGTGCCATTGGAACTGCTCCTCGCAATGACCTTATCAATACACGTGTTGAAAACCTAGTTCTCATTACCGAATTAGTTAAATTAATTGTAAACAATTACAATAACGGAGTCATGGGCCATGGCACAAATAAATATAGCGTGAAATGTGTAACCTATTTACTACTGCCAATATCAATTTTAGTATTGGTTTTCCAGTTTGGTACTGATAAGGGATAAGCTAGAGTTACACCGTTGTTGTTCACCGATCATTCTGATCCCATATTTTGGGTTTTTCTGTCCAGTTAATTACAAATTTTAGCATGCATATAGGTACTAAACTACTAAGTAGCATGCATGTAGGATAACTTTATTAAATGAAAATTTTTCATTTTAGTAACACATGTGACACTTTGGTGCAAATAATTCACAATATCCTTATTTATCATTTTGTGTACAAATGATATAGGTGTAATAATTAAATTACTGGTATGAGGGGAAACACCGTCAACAAGTTTTTTACAATTTTGGCGGTAAATTTTTCTTAAAAAAAAATAGCATTCACCAATTACGGCTGTTTGGTGTAGTGGTTCAGAACGGACTACTATGCCGAGAGGTCCCGGGTTCGATTCCCGGCCGGGCAGAAATTGAAATGATGAATTTTAATTTCTGTGACGGGTCTGGGTGTGACTATGTATAATATTTATGTATTTAAAAAAAAAAAAAGTATATAAGTAGTATATCCGTTAAGCTAGCACCCATAACACAAGCATTAAGTTGCTTACTTTGGGGCTAGCTGGCGCTGTGTGAAATCGTCCAAAGATTTATTATTATTATTATTAATTATACAGTTCAGATCGTCTAAAATA